TACCTGTTGAGGTTTGCTATGTTGCCAAGAATGTGGTCGATTTTTGGGAAGGTTCCATGTGATACTGAAAAGAAGGTATATTCTTTTGTGTTTGGATAGAAAGTTCTATAAATGTCTGTTAATCCCAATTGGGTCATAACTTCTGTTAGTTCCTTTGTCTCTTTGTTAAGTTTCTGTCTGGTGGTCCTGTCCAGTGGTGAGAGTGGGGTGTTGAAGTCTCCCACTATAACTGTGTGAGGCCTTATTTGTGATTTGAGTTTTAATAATGTTTCTTTTACGAATGTTGGTGCCTTTGTATTTGAGGCATAGATGTTTAGAATTGAGACTCTTCCTGATAGATTTTTCCTGTGATGAATATGAAATGACCTTCTTCGTCTCTTTTAATTGATTTTAGTTTGAAGTTTATCTTGTTAAATACAAGGATAGCTACCCCAGATTGTTTCTTGGGTCCATTTGATTGGAGTATCTTATCCCAACCCCTTACTCTGAGGTAATGTCTGTTTTTGAATTTGAGGTGTGTTTCTTGTATGCAGCAGAAGGATGGATTCTGTCTTCGTATCCAATCTGTTAGCCTGTGCTTTATATAGGCGAATTAAGACCATTAATATTGAGGGAAATTAAGTTCCATTCAGTGTTTGGGTATAGTAGTCTGGGATGGCATCCATTTTCTCTCAGAGTTGGTAGAATATCTATCCAGGTCTTTCTGGCTTTCAGAGTTTCCATGGAGAAGTCCGGTGTAATTCTGATAGGTTTGCCTTTATATGTTACTTGGCCTTTTTCCCTTGCTGCTCTTAATATTTTTTTCTTTATTCTGTATGTTTGGTGTTTTAATTATTATGTGACGTGGGGACTTTCTTTTGTGGTCCACTCTATTTGGTGTTCTGTAGGCTTCTTGTACTTTCATTAGCATGTCTTTCTTTAGGTTGGGTAAGTTTTATTCTATGATTTTGTTGAATATGTTTTCTGCACCTTTGAATTGGGTTTCTTCACCTTCTTCTATACCTATTATCCTTAGGTTTGGTCTTTTCACGGTGTCCCAAATTTCCTGAATATTTTGTGTTATGGTTTTGTTAGACCAGATTTTCTTTGCTTGACGAGTTTATTTCCTCTAGTTTGTCTTCAGCATCTGAGATTCTGTCTTCCATCTCTTGTATTCTATTGGTTATGCTTACATCTGTGGTTCCTGATTGTTTAATAAGCTTTTTCACTTCCAGCATTCCCTCAGTTTGTGTTTTCTTTATTGTCTCTAATTCAGTTTTCAGGTCCTGAACTGTTTCCTTCAGCTGTTTAATTGTATTTTCTCAGCTTTCCTTGATTTCTTGCATCTTTTGGTTTGTCTTTTCTTCCATTTCTCTGAAGGATTTTCGGATTTCCTCTCTTAGATTCTCTATCATTTCCATGAAGTTGTTTTTTATGGTTGCTCTCTTCTGCTTCTTCTGTGTTCCGATGTTCATGTCTTGCTGGTGTAGCATCCTAGGCTCTGGTGGTATCATATTGGTTTTCCTGTTGTTGGATGTGTTCATATATTGTCGACTTCCCATCTCTTGTTCCAGTGGGTTCTGTTGGTATCACTTCCTTTCCTGGTGTGTATAGGTCCGGTGTTCTCTTCAGGTGTGTGCAATTGACTTTGAAACTCTGATGGGGTGCCAAGATACTCTAATGGGTTTCAAGTTGGGTGCAGGCAGGTCTGAGGCACTGGCTCTCCAGGTGGGTGAGAGCAGCACTGGCTCAGAGATGTCAGCAGACTCTGAGTTACTTGGTCCTCAGGGTTCGAGTCGTCCTGTCGAAGATTCCTGGGGAGGATTTGCCCGGATGGGCAGATAGAAGTTGGGCCCAAGTTAGGGGCCGAATCAGCTCACCTCTACACCCTCTGCACTGTGTGGGGGCCCCGGAATGGCCCAGCGATCTCAGCAGAGACAGCATCCTAGGGTCCTCAGGGACCGATTTAGTCTGCCTGCAGATCCTGGGGCCAGATTTGCCAGGGGAGGGCAGGCAGAAGTTGGGCCCAAGTTCCCAGAGGGGCTGAATCAGCTCACCTCTGGACTCCTTAGGTTTTTTAATGGCTTCATTTTTTAAATTCCACACCCATTTTCAAATAGTATGTCAGTTAACAGTAACAACTGAAATGCATAGTCATTGGAGCATTTCTATGTCAGCTAGAAAATTCACCAATTTTAATATAAATACAGATTGAAAGGAATCTACCAATAAAATTTACAAGTCCATGGTTTCTCTTAGAGGAATATGGCTGGTTATCATTTACTGTTCCACTCCATCAGAAATTGACTTAAATAGTGAAGTTAAGTGCTTAAAGAAGGAAAGTATTGAATAATTACAAGTTTAATTAGTAAAATATGTAAATATAAATCTTTCATATTCTAAAACTGTCAGCTCTCAACTAACTTAATCTCTTGATTGGGCTTAGAAATTAATTAGGCTGTAGTATTCCTTAGCAAGCTTCATTTGCACATTGATCTGCATTATGATGTATCTGGTGTTAAATATTATTTATGAGGAGGATAATATTTCCACAAGGATATATAAATGATGAATGTGTTAACATCTATGGTAGTGAAGAAATAACTTCATCCACTTAGGTATAAATTTCTGGGATACCCTTAATCTAAGTGTAGAGCTATCCATTGAAATGAAATGCTCAGAAGAAAGACTACTTCGGTGTCCTATTGTGCACCTTTCAAATTCCCTTTAATGTTATTTTCTGTAATTATGCAACAATAGGAAACGAATGCCAAATAACTAAAATATTAATACGAAGTTTATTCAAATTTTGACATGCAATGTTTTATTAATTTAAAAATTGAAGACAAGTAAGAACTATACACATATAGAAAGTGAATAGATAACTTTGGGGTATAGGCATATTCATACACATGCCAACATACAGGCATATATATGTAGATACATATATACATGTGCATATGCAACCTCTATTTGTATATATTTGGTAGTTATAAATCAAGTTAGTAATCTATGAATGCAGAGCTCATCACCATTATTATCTTGCTAACTTTAGCTTTCTGTTTTACTCCCTTCCCCCTATCTTTATCTTGATGTACAAATCCAGAACTACATCTAACCCTTCTTTCATGTGTCACACAGTGATTGACTGTCAGATACTCTTGAACAACATGTGGAGCTAAAATGTCTTAATAGGGATTTCGACCTATCTGCTACATACTGAGAACAAATAAGCCAAGGATATTAAACATAAAATATATTCAAGAAGACTGAAAGCTCCAAAAAGGTACGTAATATAATATAACCTAATGTGCCAACAATTTCATATGACTCCTAGGTCACCTTCCTTTTCTTTTGTCAAATAGATTTTTTTCATTAATATGCACTGATTGTGGTTTCCCCTTTCTTCACTCCTCCCAATTCCTCCTTGTCTTCACTCCCATAAGGATTAACCCAAATTCTGTCCTTCAGTAGAAAATAAACAGGTTCCTAAGTGATAATAAAATAAAGCAAGATAGAACAAAAGCCAACACATTGAAACAAAACAAAACAAACAGAAAGAAAGGAAAGGTCCAAAGTAAAGCACAAGAAACAGATATAGATGTAGAAATGTGATTTTTTTCCACACTCAGGAATCCCAATAATAAAATTAAACTGGAAGCTATACTGTAAATACAAAGAACCTATAGGGTAAAAAGACAGAAAAACAATGAGAATAAAAAACATAAAATGAAATTAAAATACAAATACAAACATGATAATAAATATACAGAAATCCCTGACAACATTATGAGACAGGGAACCTCCAAAGACACAGTTGAATTCCTTTTCTTTTGGCTATCTACTGCTCAGTATGGCTCCTGCCTGAAAAGTAGTTTGCTTCACCAGTGACAATCCCTGGGAAAAAAAAAAAAAAAAAAAAAAAAAAAAAAAAAAAAAAAAAACCTGAATTTTCATTTTCAAGTAGTTATTAATTGAAGCTAGCTTCTACTTTAGAGAAAAATGTATAGCATTTATAATTATTATTCTTTGTTAAACTATTAAGTATTCTTATCAGTCCCACTTCAAGAGGGTTTTTTTTTTAACCATAATTGTGTTGCTGCTTTCACATGTACTTGTATGTGCACATGGGTTTGTTTGTCAATATGTACACTGATCATTTCAAATTGCACTGTGGCCATTCTTTCAAAATAATATTTATAATTATGTTGTTTTTATTTAGCAGTACATATCAGTATTTTTCCATGTATTTCATGTTAGCATTTTCAAAGTCTTCACAACCAAGTTTTAAAAAAGTATGTTTGGTGGAACTGACCTTAATGCACTCATGTGGGTTAATTTTTATAGTATCAGAAGACATGATACAATTTTCCAAAGGAGAGAGGACACAAACAGTCCTATCTATCTATGATGCCTGTAAGCAACATAAATGACCAGCTTGGAGGGAGAGCCCTATTAGTATAATAGTGGTACATACATCTTGGCAGTAACCAAGAGCTCATTAATTGGAGTTAAGATCCAGCCAACAAGGGAGCTACAATGCCTGGCACTAGAAATCTAGATAACTGCTCAGTGCTTATAAATCATGAGCGTGAAAGGAGAATGTTGTAAATTTCATTTCATTTTATTTGGAATATACTAATACTTTTATAAACAAAATATATAACTTTTTCAAGCTTTTATATGTACATTGATCCTGTAGGTACTTTGTTCATATAATAAAATTATGATTATAGAGGTATACTTGTTGCAGTTTTGAATGACAGTTTTACTTTTGTTTGAAAGTTTATGCTGCAATACAATATCCAAATAAAACTCTCCTGAATGCTTAAAATAAATATTACTTCAATTATGTAAAATTTTAAATTGTTATTTACTGTTATTCTCTCTCTGTCACACACACACACACACACACACACACCTACCCACCCCCCCACACACACACACCTACACACACACACACACACACACACACACACACACACACACACACACCTGATATGTGATGTGTGTGTACATGATCTGTCAGAGGACTGCTTTCAGGAATTATGTTTTTCTTTCAGGGTTTGACTCAAGTCCTCTGGTTCAAGGTTTGAAGTCAAGTCCCCAGCCTTATGGAGAAAGCAGTTTTACACACTAATACATCCCATAAACTCTTATTTTAATAATATATAGAATATAGATTAAAATGCATAATTATATGACAATGTGCTAGTCGAAAGCATGTTTTATGACCAAAAGTTAGCCATGGCCTAAAATCTGGTAAGTTCATTATTCTAAAAGTTTCTGCTCTTTTATTCTATACATTTGGATTATACATATTTTGGAGGAAATAACTTTTCACAGTATCTAGTAAAAAATTAATTATCTTAGAAATTTGACATTTGATTTTATTTATTTTATCCTGGAGATATAACTCTATCTTTCTGTGTCTGTGTTCTCATCTGAAAACTAATAGCTTTCTGTTATTTGAAACCTTAGTTGGGTAATCTCTTTTATAATTGTGACTATAACTGAAATTATCCTGTAAAAATTCCAAATAAGCTTAGGCTCAAGATATAGATGAATAATTAAACTAATTTTGAAGATTTTTAATTATATAATCAAAATATTATTGTTTCCTTTTGTGGCATGAATGTGAAATATATAGTTTTGTGGTTAAATCAAAGCACCATTCTATGACAAAAAACAAATGATGATGTCTTAGTTAATTTTCTATTGTTGTGATAAAACATCATAACCAAGGCAACTTGTAGAAGAAAAGGTTTATCTGGTGCTATAGTTCCTGAGCACCAAAGGATGGTTGGGAAACGTGGCAGTAGGCAGCATGAGAGAGTTTACATCTCAAACCCAAACAAGGAGCAGGTAGCTCACTGGCAAAAGCCTGAAGATTTTCAAACCTCAAGCCTGCCCCTAGTGACACATTTCTTCCAGCTAGGTGAGACCTCCAAATTCTACCCAAAGAACTCCTTAACTGGAAACAAGATTTCAAACATCAAGACTCTGGGGGACACCCTTAATTAAATATAGAGACCTGTATTTTGTATATTTACTATATTTAATCTGTACAAAAATATTCAAAACTACTTATTGCTCTTTCTATCGTAGAGCTGAACAAATTGGTGGATACATTTCTGGGTTTGATTTGTAGCAGTAGACAGTCTATATGAATGTGAAAAAATGTTCCCGGTATTCGTTTTCCTTTAACTTTGTTTCTTCTTAGCAACTAATGGTTACAAGCCATTCTGATACCATAAATACAAAACCCACTTTGCCCTTGGCTAAAATTTCCATGGTCTTCATTATCTATTTTTATTCTTTCTAGTTAAATGAAAAAGTCAGAGCAATATCAGCTGCAATAGAGGTCACTGAGTACAGTCATCACAACTTCCTTTCTTTTATGTGGAATCTGAATGCCCTGTTTTATATTGAGCATTCATTATTTGCAACAGAGGAAAGAAGAGCAGACTGAGTCAAGCAGAGCATACATTTGCCAAGTATGAGATTTTATGGCATCTCGTAGACATGACATTCTCATTCCTAATCTCTTCATCAGTACCAGAAGGTATTATAAAACGAAATTTTCATTACACTAATAGAAATTGTTCTAGTGTTTACTTTTTCCCCTTTTTATTTGGAAACAATCATTTTACATATCAATCCCCCTGTTCCCTCTCCCTCTCATCCTCCCATATCCCCTAACACCCCTGCCCCAGCCAAACCCCCATCCCCTACCCAAGAACTGTGAGGCCTTCCATGGGGCATCAACAGTCTGTCACATCAGTTGGGGGAGTGCCTAAGCCCTCCTCTATACATCTGGGCTGAAATAGTATCCCGCCATGGGGAATGGGCTCTCAAAGTCCATTTGTGCTCTAGGGATAAATACTGGTTCCACTGTTAGAGGTCCCATAGCCTGCCCAGGCCTCCTAACTGGCACCCACATTGAGAGGGTTTGGTTCAGTCCAATGCTGGTTCCCCAGCTTTATGACTGGGGTCCTTGTGCTCTCATTAGGTCAGGTCAGCTTGTTCTGTAGGTTTTTCCAGCATAGCCTTGACTGATTTGCTTATCCCCCCTCCCTCTACAACTGGATTCCAGGAGTGTGGCTCAGTGCTTAGGTGAGGGTGCCTGATTTTGCTTCCATCAGCTACTGGATGAAGGCTTTAGGATGGCATTTAGGGTAGTCATTATTCTCATTACAGGGGAAGGGCATTTAAGGTAGCCTCTCCACTATTGCATAGGGTACTAGTTGGGGTCATCCTTGTGGATCTCTGTACAATTCCCTAGTGCCAAATTTCTCTTTAAACCTAATTTCTCTTTAAACCTATATTGGCTCCCTCTACTGATTTGTCTATTTTCTTGTTCTCCTCTATTCCTTTCCCAGCTCAATCTTCCTGATCTCTCTTGTTCTCCTCCCATCTCCTCTTCTCCCCTCCTCTTTCTTCTACCTCAGGGGTTGTTGAATTTTTCTGCTTCACTGGGGAACTGTGTATGTCTCTCTTACAGCCCTCGTTTCCTTGCTTCTCTGGAGGTGTGGAATGTAGACTGGTAATCCTTTGCTCTATGTCTAATAGCCATATATGAGTGAGTACATAACCATGTTTATCTTTCTGTGATTGTGTTAACTCACTTAGAATGGTTTCTTCGAGTTCTATCCACTTGCCTGCAGATTTCGTTGTTTGTTTTTCCCTGCTGAGTAGTACTCCATTGTGTAAATGTACCACATTTTCTGTATCCATTCTTCCCATTTTTACTATGTTGATCCTACTTATCCAAGAGCATGGGAGATCTCCCAATTTTCTGGTATCTTCTTTAATCTCTTTCTTTAATGACTCCAAGTTCTTGTCATACAGGTTTTTAAACTGTTTAGCTAGTTACCCCAGGATATTTTATGTTTTTTGTGGCTATTGCAGAGGGTGATGTTTCTCTGATTTCTTTCTCAGCCCCTTTATTGTCTATATGTATATAGTAGGGCTACTGGGTTTTTTGTTTTGTTTTTTGTTTGTTTGTTTTCTTTTTTTCTAGTTAATCTTGTGTTCTGCCATTTTGCTGAAGGTGTTTATCAGCTGTAGGAGTTTCCTGGTAGAATTCTTCAGGTCACTTATGTAAACTATCATATCAACTGAAAATAGTGACAGTTTGACTTCTTCCCTTCCAATTTGTATCCCCTTGATCTCCTTTTGTTGTCTTGTTGCTCTAGCTAGAACTTCAAGTACAATATTGAAGAGATATGGAGAGAGTGGACAACCTTGTCTTCAGTGTCATGGTTATTTTGTAAGAAACATAACACTCATTTTAAGTTTGTAAATATAATTACAAAACATGTGTGTTCTGGTATTTAATTTAGAATTTATCTATAGAAACTAACATATTCCACATAATGAAATTTATTTTGTAACAAACACTGTTGTCAAATTTAATACTATTTTATTCTGATAATTTCTGTCTTACTTTCCCATCTATCCAGGAGTTGTCATCTTACTCATTGTTTTGTATCTCTTATTTTGAAGAAATCAAATATACATAATAAAAATTTTACTATTTTGTTCATAAAAATTGATTTAACTGCTTTTTCAGCCTTTTTATTAGTTTAAAATGACTTATATTCGTATATATTGTATTTATTCCACACAATGAGTGAAAATATGTTTTACTGTCTATTAGATTTTATAAATTAAAATGTACTCATGAACACATATTTTTTTAAGAAATGAACCTTGCCATTTGTGTTAAGTTGTATCTTTAAATTATGTATCTCTTGAATTATCCAGATAAAAAATACCCTAAACCTATTATATGGCAATATTTTCAGATTATTTATAGCACCCAGTTCAAAACCCAGGTAGATCACTATGTGGATGATCATTGAATAAAGTATTCCAAATTCATTCCTGTTTTTATAAAGTTTAAAAGACTACTTTTTATTGCAAGTTTGACAGAAGTTTGGCAAACAAATATGAACAATGAAAAAATAATGTTACCTGCAATGCTATACATATAAACACATAAAATATCAAAATATTCATTGCACCTAGTGAATCATATGCAGATACATGTATACATATAAAATACACATATACAAAATAACCATTTACTTAATAGTAGGCGTTACTAAGCCCTGTTTAAATCTATACAGTCTGAAGGCAAGGCTTCTGAGGAATATTCCTAAATCAACATACATCTCTTTATCTATAAAATTGAACCACACTAATGTTTACTTCACTGGTTTTAGATTCATATCAAATAAATTATTCCTTATATAATAAAATATTGTTGACAAATCTCCTATGGCTAAATATCAGAAGTTGTTAGTGAGCAAATGTCAGCTAATATTTATATATCTGGCTTTTAAAGTCAAACACATTAAAATAGTGCCAAAACATGAATTTAGGAAATGGATTTAGCAGGTTTATGTCTTTGGAGGTTACACATATTACAAATGTACTGAAATTTACATTTCAAATGCTCAGTGATTTATCACATCATATAACTTATTTAAACTGAAATTTGTTTAGTTTTTCTCTAATATTCACAACACATATGCTATTTAAAGAATAAATGTAGCTATTATTGATTAAGCTGTAAAATAATTTATATAAGGGGAACTTTTATATTATTTTGGCTAGTGTAAACATTGTGGCAGTAAATGATACATAATATGAGTGTGTATGAAATATAGAGGTGTTCAAAGATTGTAGATAAAAGTCTATCACCATTCTGTGTTTTTTAAAATTAATGAATTGATTAACCTTGTTAATGCATTTTGGTAAATGTTGAATTTATTACAGTGTAATTTTTAAAGACTAATTTTAATTTTAATTATGTATGTGTGTGTATTTGTACATGTGTCGATGGGTCTGTGTGTGGGTGTGTGCATATGAGTAAAGATGTCTGGGGAGGCCAGAAGAGAGCTATGAATACCCTTAATTCATAGTTATACTCAATTACCAGCCATCTGAGGAACTGAAATAAGGTCCTTCACAAAAACAATGTGTGCTCTTACCCACTGAGCAATCTTTCTAGCCCCTTGAAATATAACTAGTTAGAAACATTAAAAGGAATCACTAAGTGATCTGATCATCTAAGGACATCATGAAGTGTAGAACATCTTTACTGGGAACTATATTATTAAACTTACATGATATCAAACATGTATTAGTTTCATTTTGTATTATTATATTAACTGTTTCTCCTTAATTCTCTTTAATGGTATAAACACCAACCTGATTTAGAAAGCAAAAGCACAGAATTTGAATATATTAGTTTGTTTAGGCTGGTAGCAAAGTACCACTATCTAAGTAGCTAAAGAAAATAAACAAAAGAAAGTTATTTGCCATTATCCTTGGCATAAAAACCCTGACCAAGGTCAATTTGCTGCCTGAAAAGAGGTGTCCTTGCTGTTTCTGTGAAATGAAAGAGATGGTGAAATTCTGGGCCTCTGCAGGGATACTAACTTTATTCATGATTTCTCTGCTGCCATGAACTATTATTGCCCAAAGTCCCACCTCCAGTTCTGATGTCATCATATAGATGTAGTTGAAAATGAGAATTTTAGGGAAGTATAACCTCACCAGCTAATGCTTATTTTAATCAGTCACACTATACATATTTAAGATTTAGAACAAGAAAAACATTAGGAAATCTGCTTTATACACTCATTTAGAGATTTCCTTTTGCAGTGAGAAAAATAGAGTTTTCAGCACATGAGTATACCAAGAAATAGCTATTTCTAGAGATTTTACTCATGTTAAATAATAGCCAACTCTTTATTCAAGGAAAGTCTGTTTTTCTTTGCAATAAACATGAGAGGTTTATTTTATCTCTCCAATTTGTGGATTGAGAAACTGGTAACTCAACTATTTAACCATACAAGAAAGATTAAATTTGCTTTTCTTTGGATATCATTGAAAGTATATAATGTAGATTTGTAGCAAATAAATTAATGTACAATAATTTTATGCAGTGGTATGCCATTTTTGCTTCAGTGGTGGTAAGTGTTGTTAATTGTGCACTCACATATAGATAATTGTATGTTTATATATGTAAACTATATATATATATGTGTGTGTGTGTGTGTGTGTGTGTGTGCGCGTGTGGTGGGTGTGTGTGTGTGTGTGTGTGTGTGTGTGTGTGTGTGTGTGTGTGTGTGTGTGTGTGTTTGTGTTATAAACAAGCATTCTATGAGGGACATTCTAGATATATGCTTTGTGAGATAAGAGTATATAACTTACGTGAATAGGTTTAATGCCCAATCACAGCACAGAAGTGTAACAACAAAGTTTAGGTTCCTCTAACAAAAGAGAGACAACTAAAATGAAAGAATTGGAGAAGCAGGTAATGGGATTAAAAAGTTAGACAGATGCTACAAAAAGGCATGGACATATAAGCTAAGATCAAGCACTTACATTTAATTCCAAAATAAATAAGAAGCAATTAAATGATTTTAAACAAAATAAACATTATCGTTGACTATGTCTTTTGACAACAATTCTGCTTCTATGAGAAAAGTACATCATAGTTCATAGAGGATAAATCTAGATGATATTTAAAAGTCCTTTCAAATATGC